TTCAAGTATTTTGAAGCATCAATAGTACATTGGTTCCCCTTAGGGAGTTTAAGTGGAGGTCAAAAGATCAAGGGCCAAACTGGACACGGGAATATATTGACTGTTAAATATATTAGATACCCCTTACTTGACATAATATTAAACCTGGTACACTGGTTCTCAGTATTAAGGAGTAAATGACCTCTATTGAAACGATTTTTATGGGTTTATTTCAAAGGTCAAGGTCAAACTACAGAAGACATTTAGGGAATGAATTAAAATAGCAACCCAAGTTATGCTGTATGAAACGGTTTAGAGAAAAAACGTAAACTGACCCAACCCAAGTTATATCAGTATAACTTGGGTTGCTGTTTATTAATGCATTCCTTATAATATAATTTTCGATCACTAAGTATAGAAAACAAAACAATTTCTCCCTTAAAAACGTCTTCAACTTGTTCATATTTTAAATGTAACGTCAAGCGGATTGATAGTATTACGTTTTTGACAGAAGTCAATATGACGTAAGCAACCCAGGTTTATCCATTCAAATGACGCGTTACAATTGCTCGACTGACGTCTTTGGTTTTTCTCATGGAGTTGATATCTTATCTCATTGGCGTCGGAAGCAAATTGAAAGTGGGGGGGGGGGGGGGCTAAGTGTAAAAAAAAAATTTGTGTGCCTTCAAAAAAACCTAACAAGCAAAAAACAAAAAAAACAAAACAAAAAACATAAAAAAAAGAAATGTCCATTTCCCAAACACGAAAATCCTATTTCGTCGTGGAAGGGGGGGGGGGGGTTCGGTTCGAACTCAGTACCAAATTTTTTTTTCCAAACACCACCACTTTCCCCATTTTAAACCTATACTAAGGCGTATCTGTGGAAAGTGGGGGAGGGGGGGGCTAAACCTACGAAGACATGTTCAATGCCTATACTAAGTATATATTTGGAAAAAAGTGGGGGGGGGGCTAAGCCCCCCTAGCCCCCCCCCCCACGGTTCCGACGCCTATGTATCTAGACTTCCAGGTCACAAAATTTAAGTTTAGGACATGGGAAAAGATTGACCGCTCAGTATCTTTGAAAATCATTAAACTTGGCACGCTGGTACTAAGAAGTAAAATATTGAGAGTAGACTAAATTTGATTGCGTCTGACTACATGGGTCATGTGCAAAAGGTTACTTTTGTTTCACTTTCACTTTACAGGCATTCTAGATTTAAAGTTAACCATTTCAATATTGTTACATAGGGAAATATATGTTTTTAAAACTGTTCTTGTTTTATTAAATTTATTTGCTTTTCTTTTATTTTAATATAAAGTTCTTATATTTTGCAGTTAAATAAAATGGACCAGAAACTAGATCAGGTATTGTTTATGATAAATTCTTTACTGAAATCCAAGAAAGTGAACGAGTCCGCGCAGGAGGATGAAGTTTGAGGCAGGCCTATGTCATGATGATCATGTGACCGTGATTAACCAATGAACTTATAAAGTTTAAAAAGAACTCTTTGAACTGCAGTTTTGTTCCTGAGGTTGTGATTTTTGATTTTTTATGTTCATACCTGGCACATATAAGGAATTTTTATGTACGTTGTTATATTGCACAAGATCCTTTTTATCAATCAAAGTGGTAATGAAACAAAGTAGAATCTCAGGAAATGTATGAGGTCTAGTTTATTGAATGCATTGTGTACTGGTAATTCGTCTCGTTTTATACTTTCTCAGATTCTTGTTTTGTTACTTTACGCATTTTTCCAAGAAAGAAATGAAATGTTACGCCACATAGATTTTACCCCTTTGTAGTACAAATAAAGAACATTTCATTAACTGCAAAATAATGCATTTTTATGAAAATATTATTTCTTTCAAAATACCGGTTTTCTTATCAAGAGACCTTTTCCTGTACAGGACAATCTCGAATAATGAATGATTTTTCTGTGATTGAGTTTAGCTATTGCACTTGTTTGTGAGTAGTAAAAAAGAGAGTGAGACTGAAATGCGACAGCACAAATGGATTGAGGACAAAAGGTGAGGCAGCAATTGTTAAAGGGCAACAAATAAAGATATAATCACCCTCCCAATGTCTCTTAATAAGAACGAGGGAGCAGGAGGACAAAATCAGACCATGCTGTGACGTATAGACTGATAATAACACGATATATTTCTTCCATTACGTATACTTGTATTTTGTCAATCATACGAAAAAAAAAACAACATTTTCCGGCATTGTTCCTCGGGATCGATCTTTGTGATACTAGTACTTTTAAGATCAAATCTAGTGAACGAGGTGTGAATATTTGATGAAGAGCACTCAAATTTTGAGCAGATTTTTGGGGCGATATGAGAGACGGTTCTAATGAGAGAATAACGTTCTATGTGTGATCAACTGCAATTTTAAAGAAGTTTTATATATTTTCGTGGTTACGTTGTGTATTGTTAAATACCGTAATAAAAAATACACATCCCTGAAGGGTTTTACTTTTTTGTGTCATTAAATGTCTAATTAAGGATACAACATTTCAACCAATGAAATAACTGAAAAATTTTAAACCATGCAATTTCTACCAATCACAAAAGAGAGGAAGTTCATAGTCCGAAGACTGTAAATTACTTAAGGTTCATAAACCCCCTGCTCACTCATATAGATTTGTTCTTGAACTTTAATGATTTTCAAAAGGAAATGTGTATGCTGAATAAAATGCAAACAATTATAGCATGGCTTGCGGGGCAAAATTTGACAAAAAATGCACTTCAACTTGACAAATTTATAAGGGAATAATAGACATTTGTATCAGTAAGAGTTATCTCTCTTATCAGAGTATCAATGTTCCTTAAGTTAACTCTGTATACCGTCTTCCAAGGAAGACGGTAATAAAAGTAAAAAATAAATACCGTTTTAAAGAAAATCAGAAGAACTTTTTATTTAAAAAAAATCTAGCATTAGATACCAATGCTTATTAGCATGATATAAAATTAGAAATCTGTTTTTTGCACTGATAGCACAAACTTTTTACACTATCTGTATAATAAATAAAGGAAATAGAAGACTGAATATTGAATAAGTGAAAAAAATCCATATTTTTAAACCTAAAATATATTTATAGATCAATTTTCAATTAAAAATGCATAGCTGATGTTTCTTTTCGCTTTTCCTGAATATATATTGGATATTTGATAATTTTCCCTATATAATATAATTACCTACATGTATATGGTACAGAGCCACACCCTAACACCAGAATTGCTGAGCCAGGGGCCATGATTTCACAATTTTGGAAGAAGCATCCTTGCTTAATAAATCATAACCACGTAATTTCTGCATATGCTTAAGGTAGGATTCTTCTCTGGTTTCTGAGTAGATGAAATATTCAATGTATATTTGCTTATATGTCACATATTTAGGTGAAAGAGATTTAAAAGACCATATTTTTCTTTCCTCATCACAATTGTACAACTTTAAATAAAATGGTAAATTGTTTTCGAAAACTAGCAGGGACTATATTTTTGGCGGAATAGTGGCGTATGAAAATATCTTCTTTTCTGGTAGAACAACGAATTTAGTTATAATTTTTACACGATCAAAGACTTGAAGATTTTTTCAAATGTTAGCTAAATTAATAATAAGGAACTAAAGTTTTAAAATATTTCATATAAATATTATATGATTTTCCAAACAAACAACAATTATGTTAGCTTTTTAAAGCTTCCAATCTTAGTACAGATATGAGCCAAAAATCTATAGAAAGTGTTTTTACTCTCTTAGTAAACGGTCAAAACTTTTTGTTTTTGTATCATTTTGTATCTCTATATGACTTGTTTACCATATGTGAAAATAAGAAAAATTTAAATATAGGGCGCATATAAAAATAACTTAAATTTCCTAAAAATTTAAGAAAAATAGAGAAAATTCAAACTATTTTTGTCAGTTTGATAATATCATCTTATATATCCTATATGGTTTTATTTTTAATGCAAAAAGAAAAAAAAATCATCTTTTGAAATAGAAGACCCTATCGCATGATTGGATGCAGTTATTTTTATTCTTAATGTCCAGGGAAAAATTAATGACCTTGACCTGACCTTGACTCTTATGTAAAACGGTCAAAACTAATCTAATTGATACCATCACTTAGTAATATTGTCTTATTGTTTCTGTGAAAATTTCATTAATTTTTAGATACAAGAAATACAGCTTTGTGTGAGAAAAATCCTTCAGAGAACAGAGAATTAATAAGGTTTTCACAGAATCAATGCATTTTCAAAATCAAAAGAGCCTCGATCGTCCTAAACATAGAATCCAAGACCAAGGGGTAATTAATTTTGGAAGACGTACCCATCTTAATTGCTCATCATATCTATGCATTAAAGTTTGTACACTAAATACACAAGGAGAATTAAAAAAGAAGTTTTTTTTTCTTAAGAATAATGTGTACACTTTTACGATATGATAACTATACAAACGACGAACAAAAACAGACAGCAATATCATGAATATGACACAACTATGAGAGAATCGGGCTACCTAATAAAATATTAATTTGTGCATTAATATTATTCCTTTAAAAAAATTAACTACATTTCTAAATGCAAAGTCAGGAATACTTTTTTTAATTATTGAAATTTTAAATTGATTACAAATATGAACCTAAACACTAAGATATATTTAATCATTGTCAGTTGAATGTTTGATATCTTAAGAATAGTTTCTTTTGACATAAAAAAATCCAGCAGAATTTTTCCTAAATTCATTTTTGGTCTCACAAAGCCAAACCCCCCTTTATTGATCTAAAATTCGATTTATTTTATTTTTTATTTTTATTTTTTGGTTTTGGTCAGAAAAATCAGGAAGTACTTTTGAAATACTACTCCGTAGAAGGGCGCCTCATAAAATCACACAGAACAAACTAACGTATTATATAGATCTCTATTTCATGATGAATGGATATAAATGAAGTTTACATTTCCTTTGCATTTTAAAAATGCCGCCGTTTATCTATCCGGAAATGTGTTTACTACGCTGTTTGGCTTTAAAATTTTACAGCGTATGGCTCTTCCTGTGACAATCACTAAGAAAGTTCCAGAAGTCGAGTACAGTAACATTTTGAACTTCAACACTGGAAAGTAAGTATTAAACGTAATCTTTTCAGATATTGATAAAACTGCCGACTCCTGTGATTAGGGCATATACTTAAGTATACTGGTGTCTCATTATATCGCGGTACTTAAAAGCTTTTGCTTAAAAAGTGTAATTCCAATTTTTTACCTGAACTCTCATCAAATGATATTCATAAACCAGACTTTGGCCTAACTTTTCAGTGTCAAATTATTTCCCAAGCATGCATCGTTTAATTTGTAGTCTATTTTTAAAACATGAAGTCTTATTTGCCTCCTAAATTGGAGAGTCTCATAGTATCGCGGTATGGGAAAACATGGAAACTTGTGGTTGACATGGACTTCAATCTTAATTTTTAAATTTACGATGTAATTCTGCATAAAAATATAACAATTATACAAACTAAAGACTTTCAAAATATGAACTTTATCATGGATTTTTACTAGATTATAAATTCTGTGGTCTAAATAAAATAAAAACGAATGAAAATCGGTAAAAATTACGTTTTATATAAATACAAACTTTTCCGACGCATGTTCCATTCATTTTAATCATCACAAAAATTTACATTCAGGTGACAGACAGATAGCTTTATCCACAAAAATCACATGGGCTATGTATCTAATTTTTTGGAATATACCGCGATACAATGGAACCCGCGATATAATGAGAATTGAGTAATACATATATATATACATGATATTGGTCCCTGGCTAGGGGAATGCAAGATAATTGATATTATATGTAAACCATGTAAACGGAGAATCAATACAGTTTTTGTCATAAATCCGTGAAAAATTCTACTTATTTATCAGTTTTACAATCTTATAACAGATTGAAAATAAGGTTATTCATGAAAGTACATGTTTATGAATATTAACATATTTGACAGAAATACCACTAAGACCCCAAAGTTGTTTGAAACTGATGGTTCCTCATCACCAGTGAACTACAGATAGCATTTGACTACAGACCAGGTGGACAATGGAGATTGATCAGAATGGTATAATTAACTTTTCTTTTCTTTTCCATACATAAAATGATTTCACAAATGTGAAGAAAGTATTGAGAGGATTATGAAGTAAATGTTTTATGATATACACATAATGTACCATATATCCGTTATTTTCACATGTTGGAAATTTTGCGAAAAAGGGATAGATTAGTACAGTTTTTATTTTGCCTAAGTTATTTTTTACGATTGATGATTTTTTTTTGTTGTTGTTTAAAATGGTTATGTTTTTATGTCACATCAATCATAGCTGACATAATCACCGTGCCATAGCGTTACTATGATGCAATTATTCCGTAACGTATGATGAAACGATTCTTTATGGAGTTTTTACATGGAGATTTGACCAAGGTAAGTTAATGTCGTATTTGTATGCCTTAAACGCAAAATAGCCCTAATTGTGTTAGCCCTTGCATTATAGGAATGACACAGGCATCTGTTGACATAATGGACAATGTCCAGTTATGCGCCATTTTCTTAAACACTTTGCATTTTCATAATAGAGAGGCTAAAAAGTTCGATTTATTCATAAACTTTTTTCCTAATCATGTTACAAGATCAGCTACAAGTTTACCATAATGAAAATTCGTTGTTTTTCCATTACACTCTTGAATTGTGATGAAAACATTTATTTAATCGCTTTTAACATGGGTTTTTAGAAGTAACGTATGATGCAACGATTCCCATCATCAGTAACGTGCGATGCAACTATTCTTTAACAATCGTATTATTAGACCAATATGTTGGATTTCTTTACTAGGACACGTTTCAAAGTAGGGTAATAAAATTACTCATTGCTTTCTTTTTATCACAGAATACCAAATGGTTAAGAAAAAAGCAAAACTTGACTAAAGAACGGCTAAAAGAAAAAAGTACAGCAAGAATAACGTCATTTCATCCCCTTACCCAACTCCGAAAAGAAGAAAATTTTCTACTCCATTTAAATCCAAAAATTGACATGTTGATGCCCCAAACAGAAACACTGTAAAAACTCCATAAGGAATCCTTTCAACATACGTTACGGAATAACTGCATCACAGTAACGCTATGGCAAGGTGACTAAATATGACATTTTTTTAAAACGTGCTAATTTCGGCGAATTTTTATTTTTACCTTAATGAGGGTATTCAGACACACATAGAAAAACACATAATACACAAAATAAACTATCCTGTAACCAAGCGCCTATGATCTCAAATTTAAAAACAATTTTAGGAGAGTGTAATAAATCATCAAACTTGGCAACAAATATATATAAAATTAAGTGTTCTCTGAATACAAGCCATAATACCTCAGCTTCGCAGGTTAAAGAAAACTGGCAAAATCAAGCGATAGACCCTAATCACAATTTCTTTTTTTATTTATACAAAATTTTATTCGCAAATAAATTAAAGTAAACTGGGCTTGGGCAACAGGCAAAGTCTATTTTGGCTCTCTCCCTGCTAATGCCTTTACCACCGTGCCATAGCGTTCCCATGATGCAGTTATTCCGTAACGTATGTTGAAAGGATTCCTTATGGAGTTTTTACAGTGTTTCTGTTTGGGGCATCAACATGTCAATTTTTGGATTTAAATGGAGTAGAAAATTTTCTTCTTTTCGGAGTTGGGTAAGGGGATGAAATGACGTTATTCTTGCTGTACTTTTTTCTTTTAGCCGTTCTTTAGTCAAGTTTTGCTTTTTTCTTAACCATTTGGTATTCTGTGATAAAAAGAAAGCAATGAGTAATTTTATTACCCTACTTTGAAACGTGTCCTAGTAAAGAAATCCAACATATTGGTCTAATAATACGATTGTTAAAGAATAGTTGCATCGCACGTTACTGATGATGGGAATCGTTGCATCATACGTTACTTCTAAAAACCCATGTTAAAAGCGAGTAAATAAATATTTTCATCACAATTCAAGAGTGTAATGGAAAAACAACGAATTTTCATTATGGTAAACTTGTAGCTGATCTTGTAACATGATTAGGAAAAAAGTTCTATGAATAAATCGAACTTTTTAGCCTCTCTATTTGAAAATGCAAAGTGTTTAAGAAAATTAACTGGACATTTCCATTATGTCAACAGATGCCTGTGTCATTCCTATTGCAAGGGCTAACAAAATTAGGGCTATTTTGCGTTTAAGGCATACAAATGGACATTAACTTACCTTGGTCAAATCTCCATGTAAAAACTCCATAAGGAATCGTTTCATCATACGTTACGGAATAATTGCATCATAGTAACGCTATGGCACGGTGATAATGTCTGCGTGTTTTTATATTTTGTAAATTAAAAATGGTTGCAAAAAATGCGAAAAATTGATCATCGAGAAAAAAAACCCCGGATATACTGTATGTCACATTTTGCTTTGAGCATAGGTTACCAATTTGTTGAAGTTGTCATAAAAAATGGACAATGTTTGATAATTTACGTTGTAGATTGTTGTGTTGTATTCTGCAAATGTCATCTTTGCTAGCCAAGGGTTTTTGGTCTGTTCTGTTCCCGTTTATGGGGAGCAGATTGAGCAGACTGAAAACCCTTTGCTATCAAAGATGCTAAAATGTACATTGTAGCATTTATAGCAATTTCAAAAGGATACATTTTGTTTATACTGTTAAATAAGGTAGATCATTACATACAATGTAGTATACTACAGTGTATCTCTATAAGGAGATTTTTTTTCATGTTGGTTTTATAGGGTGAATTCACTATGGATTGGACAGTCCGACACCCTCTTACTTTGAAAGATATAGTGTTAAACTTAAAACAGTGGTTATTTGTAAGGAAATAATTTGAAAACTAGCAAAATTCAAAGGTCTTAATTTTTAGATGAATAAATCCAGATATACGTGATTGAACTATAGAAAAATGGAAGGTTTGCTCAGCATTTTGACATATGGATCAGAGAGAGAATGCAGCTTTCATTCTGAATTTAAATGTATTTGAATAAACTTTTTAAAAACACATTCTTTTGCATAGAAAATTGACATTTTGTATGTCCATACATGGTAGAAATATTTTAGATCTGTTGATGCAAAAGTGCATTTGTTTTAGTTTGTGTTTAATACTGAAAAATAACTTTTTAAAAAATCCATTGTTCTTTCTGAACTTAATGAAAATTGTAAGATTGGAGGGCAAAAGACATAAGCATTATTATATTTTGAGATGAAAAATAAGTAACTGCGCAAAGAAAAAATAATTTTATATTTAAGTATTGTTGGATAGATGCTTTAAAAAATGCTTGTAAGATGATTATACTGGCTATTTTTTAATTTTCTAATGCATGCACATCATAGTACAAGAGGTGTTATGGGAGGGGACAAAATTCATTGCAACCCCAGGTGTCCAATAGTCCTGTAATGCTATACCAATACCACACTCCCTGAAATCACTTTATCCAGATGCTTGTGTTGATGCATTAACCATTCGACACACCCTCACAAACACACCCTCAAACACACATACACACTGGTTTTTACATTTGAACATGTAAATCTAATTTAGAAATAATAATATATAAGTTGCAGATTTGACACAAGTAACCAACATTTTGTGTACATGTATAAGTGATTATTGTAAACTCTTTTTAACAGTATTTTCACAAAAAAGTGAAATACTGATGCATTAAGGATGACATCAACTGCAATACTTACAGATTTGTTTAGTAAATCAGATATGTCTTTTAAATTTTACGAATTTCAAGTCCACTGGGGGGGGGGGGTAAGTGGTTGCCAGTTTAAAAAATAAATATATATATATTAAAATATATTATATTTGTACTGGATTAGAAACCTAGTAGTACACTGACATGTTCCTTATTCTTCCATTACTGTTCCAAGAAGTGACAGCTTTATTATTTTTGTAGAGAATCTAGAAAACTGGAGGAACTTTTTACAGCCTCTTCCATCTAATCGCAAGGCTAAAAATGGCCATGGCATCAAAATTTTTGATAAAAAGAATGGAAATGATTGTTTGTCCCAAGAATTTGCGATAAAATTGATGAAAGATAAACCTTATAGCATAACAATCAAACCACCAAAAATTCAAGAGAACACACCGACACAGCAAAATAACGTCCCATTTCCGGTTTTGGAACAGGCAGGAATCAGAGTTTGTGAGCAGCTTGATATCGATAAAGACACAAGTAAAGAGGACGTTATTTCTGTGTCTGGTACACAACCTTCTTTCTCCGAAATTGATGTTTCCAATGAAAATTCCAGAGATAATCCGATAGCAATCGATGATGAGGAGCCGTGTACTTCTTACTCAGGAATCGGTCACGGAAGTCCTAAAACTCCGTACACTTTCGTTAAGCAAAGTGGTACGTTCACAAATAGTTTGAAATTCAAACAAAGGAGAAACAAAGGAAAGCTGTTTCCTTGGAATAAAAATAAGCAACTTCAGGGGAAATCGAAATTCAGTGTTCATGTTGATACACTAGGTGACAAGTACTCTGTGCACCGACGACGAGCGAGGAATACTTTAACGAAGTCTGCGAGAATTGCCAACAAAAAAGACGATTTTGACTTATCGTGTTCTAAGTGGAATATTGTGTTATTATCTCGCTACTTCTGTTTCAAGGACTGTGTGGAAAAGTTGGCGTTGAGAGAAAATACTGACAACGGTGAAGGCGACTTAGACAGGTTAATAGAAGACTTTATGTACAGAATGACGATTGCTTCGTCTAATGTCAAACAAAATGTAGAAAAAACGGAAGAAACACTAAATTTTATCTCCCTGTGCAATACTGAAATCGGTGCAAGATTAGTTTTAAATGAAATCATGTTCCCTCTCTGTGCATATTTGGGACTTTCGATTGAAATTGAAAAGACTGTTGACTGTGTTTTCCTCCCATGGTCCAGATTTGACTACAGAATAGTTAATTCAGATGGGGACGCTGTTGGAGCAGTAGAGGCAAAGAGCGCAGGATCTATTTGCCAAGAATCAATAGCACAGGCCATTGTACAACTATGTGTACTTCAAACTGAACACCTTGTCAAAAAAGACACTGACCAAGTTGTAAACACGCCTCTTTTTAATATTCTGACAGACGGTATCCGTTACGTCTTCATCGTTCTCCGGGGAAAGAAATTACAGTTTGAACAGGTTGATGGTAGGGTTTCCGTGAGAGAAGTCAGATCGTGGGAGGACGTGAAAAATCTGTACAGGTCACTGGTGACCTTGATGCGAGAACAAACACTTCCGCCGGAAGTACTCGACCTATCAGCCAATGAAAATGACGTAGAGCTGATTGAAATGGCCTTAATCTAGAAATAGGTGTCCGGATATTTATCTTCTTAGAAAAGGACCACCATTTGAATTTTCTAGGGAACGAATCGGAAACTTTTATCTTTTTCAAATGTTTTGATCAACAAATACAAGAGGTGTTGACCTTTCATTTAAAAACAGACAGACATGAAACATTACTTGTGAGGATTTTTTTTTATTTTTGCGGAGTCGGTAGTATTTCAGCCATATTTCGGCAGCGTTATAGGTCTAGGTGAATATAAAAAGAGGAGAAAACGTGAAGAGTTACAATATTTAATTTATTTACATGTAACATTTCTTATTAGGTTACTAGTATTTTATTTTAGAGACAGGGATAGAAATGTGATGTTTCTAAACGGAATTTTATATTTATGACACTAAATATTATCTACTTTTATACCTCGTATTTATTTAAACAATGTTTTACATATATTTACAAAAGTGAATGGGATTAGGCAGCACGCTCAGCCTATTTCAGTCCTTTATATAATTATTTTTTTATGTCTTGAAAATAAATTATTGGTCATTCTACTTACTGTTTCAAATTTTCTTGACATCTTGATTTTACTAAACATGTTTATTTACAAAGTGGTAAGCACTGCATCATTTTTTAGAAAACTCTGAACACTAATGAACTCAGGGTTCTCCACATTTGAAAATTTAACCATGGAGGAGGCGAAATGGTGGCTGAAAACACGTGTCTACTCTAACCAATAACCATGCGTGTTAGACATTACTAATCGTCATTAATCAATGATTGGTTTTACAATTTTTAAACTTAACCGTTGAACACAAAACTATGGAATGAATAACTACACTTTTTAAAGTTAAAAAAATAATAATTAAATTGAAAAGGATTTATCCAATTTCTTACTTTACAAATGTACCAAAATTTGTCCCAAACTGTAGTTATCTTCTGAAGGGATTAAGATAAAAAATTTTGATACAGTAAGTCAGTACCCATGGCAATATTTTTCAGAAATTAATAATTATAAGAATTGTAGCCTGTTGTATGAAATGTATTGTTTCAATATGACTAAAACTGATGAATGGGTAGTATTTTTTAAGTTAACACACAAAGGAACATTTGGACTAGTGTCCCTTTTTTCTAAACGTTTTATTTTTCTAGATACTGCATTTTCTTCAGGTTTTGTTTACTTCTCCACGTGCCTAGTGCTAAAAATAGCGCCACGCGACGTTTCATAACAACGGGAAGTAGGTCTTAAACTAAGATGAAGAGAAGAAGGCAATTTGATCAGATAGATAATAAAGTTACAGTTTAAACAACAGAACATGGGAAATTGATTAAATACAGAGGTATATGAAATTTTTACAGAGTATTTTTTTTCTGGCACAGAAACCTGAATCGCATGGTTGACTATTAACATGCTCGTAGTTGTAATTTGTCATCTTTTATAAGCCTGTTATCTAATAATTTAATGAACATGTTGAAGTTTCCCAAAATTATTTACATGTGTACAGAATAATAAACTCTCAATATATTGATTATCTGATCAGCTGATTGACTCTCCATTGATTGTCACGCTTCACACCAAAGTCGCTAATTAACGACGTGTTTGTTTAGCAAAGTTTGCTTTCATTCGAGGCATGCAGGGTGCACGCAGTCGTAGTATAAACGCAATTAGCTAATCAAGTAATTAAAAAAGTAGGTGTTAGGACTGAAATGCAATAAAATTTAATCATGAAGGCACTTCAAGTTGTTTCGGAAATAATTTTTTACCCATATATTAATAATTTTGCGTTATTATTATACTATGGTTTAAAAAATTAATTTATGTCCGAAACAAGTGTCTGTGATTTTAATATATGCGCTGTAATTGAAAATTGGAAAATGCGTATTTGGAAAAGGTATGTTTTACTGAGTATTCCCTTGAAAACGTTATAAAAAATTTAAGAAAAATAGAGAAAATTCAAACTATTTTTGTCAGTTTGATAATATCATCTTATATATCCTATATGGTTTTATTTTTAATGCAAAAAGAAAAAAAAAATCATCTTTTGAAATAGAAGACCCTATCGCATGATTGGATGCAGTTATTTTTATTCTTAATGTCCAGGGAAAAATTAATGACCTTGACCTGACCTTGACTCTTATGTAAAACGGTCAAAACTAATCTAATTGATACCATCACTTAGTAATATTGTCTTATTGTTTCTGTGAAAATTTCATTAATTTTTAGATACAAGAAATACAGCTTTGTGTGAGAAAAATCCTTCAGAGAACAGAGAATTAATAAGGTTTTCACAGAATCAATGCATTTTCAAAATCAAAAGAGCCTCGATCGTCCTAAACATAGAATCCAAGACCAAGGGGTAATTAATTTTGGAAGACGTACCCATCTTAATTGCTCATCATATCTATGCATTAAAGTTTGTACACTAAATACACAAGGAGAATTAAAAAAGAAGTTGTTTTTTTTTTAAGAATAATGTGTACACTTTTACGATATGATAACTATACAAACGACGAACAAAAACAGACAGCAATATCATGAATATGACACAACTATGAGAGAATCGGGCTACCTAATAAAATATTAATTTGTGCATTAATATTATTCCTTTAAAAAAAATTAACTATATTTCTAAATGCAAAGTCAGGAATACTTTTTTTAATTATTGAAATTTTAAATTGATTACAAATATGAACCTAAACACTAAGATATATTTAATCATTGTCAGTTGAATGTTTGATATCTTAAGAATAGTTTCTTTTGACATAAAAAAATCCAGCAGAATTTTTCCTAAATTCATTTTTGGTCTCACAAAGCCAAACCCCCTTTTATTGATCTAAAATTCGATTTATTTTATTTTTTATTTTTATTTTTTGGTTTTGGTCAGAAAAATCAGGAAGTACTTTTGAAATACTACTCCGTAGAAGGGCGCCTCATAAAATCACACAGAACAAACTAACGTATTATATAGATCTCTATTTCATGATGAATGGATAGATTGTTGTGTTGTATTCTGGTGACAAACAGATAGCTTTATCCACAAAAATCACATGGGCTATGTATCTAATTTTTTGGAATATACCGCGATACAATGGAACCCGCGATATAATGAGAATTGAGTAATACATATATATATACATGATATTGGTCCCTGGCTAGGGGAATGCAAGATAATTGATATTATATGTTTTTTGTCAAACCATGTAAACGTATATATATGAGAATCAATACAGTTTTTGTCATAAATCCGTGAAAAATTATATGTAAACCATGTAAACGGAGAATTTATTTATCAGTTTTACAATCTTATAACAGATTGAAAATAAGGTTATTCATGAAAGTACATGTTTATGAATATCAACATATTTGACAGAAATACCACTAAGACCCCAAAGTTGTTTGAAACTGATGGTTCCTCATCACCAGTGAACTACAGATAGCATTTGACTACAGACCAGGTGGACAATGGAGATTGATCAGAATGGTATAATTAACTTTTCTTTTCTTTTCCATACATAAAATGATTTCACAAATGTGAAGAAAGTATTGAGAGGATTATGAAGTAAATGTTTTATGATATACACGTAATGTACCATATATCCGTTATTTTCACATGTTGGAAATTTTGCGAAAAAGGGATAGATTAGCACAGTTTTTATTTTGCCTAAGTTATTTTTTACGATTGATGATTTATTTTTGTTGTTTAAAATGGTTATGTTTTTATGACACATCAATCATAGCTGACATAATGTCTGCGTGTTTTTATATTTTGTAAATTAAAAATGGTTGCAAAAAATGCGAAAAATTGATCATCGAGAAAAAAAACCATATTTCGGCAGCGTTATAGGTCTAGGTGAATATAAAAAGAGGAGAAAATGTGAAGAGTTACAATATTTAAGTTATTTACATGTAACACTTCTGGATATTTTATTTTAGAGGCAGGGATAAAAATGTGATGTTTCTAAACGGAATTTTATATTTATGACACTAAATATTATCTACTTTTATACCTCGTATTTATTTAAACAACATTTTACTTATATTTACAAAAGTGAATGGGACTAGACAGCATATTTATGTCTTGAAAATAAATAATTGGTCATTCTACTAACTGTTAAATTTTTTTTTGACTTCTTGAATTTACTAGACATGTTTATTTATAAAGTGGTAAGCACTGCATCATACTTTAGAAAACTCTAAACACTAATGAACTATGGGGGGGTGGGGTGGGGGTGGGGTGGGGTGCTAGGTTAATATATCACTGTTGTTTGGATTTTTGCAAAGTAAACCAAGGACACGTGATTCAAAAGAAGGCACTTGTTCCGGAAATAAATTATTAACCCATATTTTAATAATCTTGTGTTATTATTATACTATGAGTTAAATATTTATGTCCGAAGCAAGTGCCAGTGATTTTAATATATGCGCTGTAATTGAAAATTGGAAAATGCGTTTTTGGAAAAGGTATGTTTTTCCTGGCTATTTTCACCATTTTGATTTTTTACGTGCCAGGAAAACGAAAACTGGAAATCGCCGTCTCAAACCGGAATTGATTTTCGATACTTGCAAACTGAATTAACGAGGCTGGGGGGTGGCAGCCATTTTCAGACTATTTCGATCTCCTTTAAAAGAAGAGCTCCATATAAAGATATAAAAAATGATAAAATTTTAAAACTAAAATGTAGGAATTTTTTCTTTGCCAAATAATAAATGATAGCTTAATATACCATATCTAAAAAAATAAGTTAATTCTGGTGGTTAATTTTTGGTTTATTTGTTGACCCTCCAGCCTCCTTAAATGTAAAATTCACAATATTTCAATAGCATAATTCTTTTTCTAAAAAAATATTGATGAAAAGAAAACATCAGTTCACATTTCGATACAAGACTAGCAAAATATTAAAATGCACGAAATGAAAACCTCTCGACAGTCAAGATATTTTAATTGTTTCTTCGAATTGTATATTTTATAAACGAACCATAAAACGATGTTGGTGAGTACTAAAAGTATTGTACTATTGATTGGTTATTAGTTTGACCTTTAATTCGGTTCGAAAACCAACCCAAAAATGCCGCCTTGGGTTGGTGGCTGCGAATTCACAGTTTTCGTCATGGCACCGGTTCTGACGTTTTCCTGGCACGTAAAATATCAAAATCATTAGTAAAGCCTGAAAAACGTCAGATAGGTCTATTTCGGAATAATTCTCTTCTTGTACGTTCATGCATGAAATTATCATTATAAAGAGAATGGGTTGTTTTTAGATTGTCAAGAGCTTTTTCGCAACTAAACTGCCTAAATGGTTTTTTGGATCCGCTAAATGAATGCGACAGTTAGCCATAGGCGACATACACATGACATACGCTTCTCAATCGTTCCGCATGACAGGACAAGTATAGACATGTAGGTACATAATGCAAAGTAGGTCATAAGGTAACTACGCGTCACCTAAATTTCTTCCTTGTTATAACATTTAACACACCCTTTGCAGCGTATTAGAAAATTTCCATTTGCACTGGTATCAGTTTAACACCATATACCCGTTTCCGTGTTTCTTA